TGAAAAACTGGGAGCTGTTTGTGTTCGGTCCGGCATTTGCCATGGACAAGATGCCAGGACCTGTATGTTTCAGGGCAAAGTTCTCATCCTCAAATTTCTCCCCATAGCTGGACTTGCCGCCTGTGCCATTGTGGCGTGTGAAGTCGCCACCCTGGCACATAAATCCCGGAATAATTCTGTGAAAGCAGGAACCTTTATAACCAAATCCCTTCTCCCCGGTGGTCAGAGCACGGAAGTTTTCTGCCGTCTTTGGAACCTTGTCTGCAAACAGCTCGAAGGAGACACGGCCCAGGGGCTCTCCGTCGGCGGCGATGTCGAAGTACACGGTGGGGTTCACCATGGCTAGTCTCGGGCGGCTTTGGGGCGGCGGCGTCTGCAAAGCCATTAATTCCCTTTTAATGTACATGAATTTTGTGCACCGGGCTACTAGTCCTTTAAGAAAAGGGAAGAATGACTTTGGGGGAGGGGAGGCTCAAGGCCAGTGGTGCTGCCTCCAGCATACACCCAGACGAGGGCCAGTGATCAAACCTGCATCCCAGGTACGTGCCCTTGACCAGAATTGAACCCATGCCCCTTCAGTGCACAGGCTGTCACTCTAACCACTGAGCACACTGGCCAGGTCACTGAGGTCCATTATTATAATGACTTACCATAAATTGCCCTCTGGCTCCAATGACTCACATCTCTCCCACATGCAAAATGCATTCAGCCCCTTACAAGATCCCCATATTTTCAGCCAATTACATCATCAGATTCCAAGTCCATGAATTCATCATCTAAATCAAATTTAGATGTACATGGGGCTTCTAGGGTACAGTTCCTTGGATAGTGCTCATGTTGATCTAGTGACCTATAAAGTAAAAACACAAATTATTTGACCTTAACACATGTAATAGAAAATGGTGAGACAGTGATTAGCTAACCCTCAAGAGACACCTCCATTTTAAAAGGGGGTGAATGAGAGGCACATAGTAGTCACTGTTCCACTGTAATTTTGAAATCTAGCTGGGCATATGTCAACAGTTCCCCCAACTTTCAGGACAAAGAGTGTTCCTTAATTAGGGCTTACTTTTTGCTTTCTGGGAGTGGTTCCCTATGCATTGTTTTCCTTGATTCTTGGCTTCATACTCTGGGCTCTGAGCTTCACCATTTGAGACATCTTCACATTTTTTAAAATAGATTTTAGAGAGCGGAAGGGGGAGAGAGGAAGAAAGGGAGAAGGGGGGAAAGAGAGAGAGAGAGAGAGAGAGAGAGAGAGAGAGAGAAAAATATTCATCGGTTGCCTCCCACATCCAACTGGGGATCAAACCCACAATCTAGATATGTGTCCTGACCAGGAATTGAACCTGCCATCTCTTGGTGTACAGGATAATGCTCCAATCAACTGAGCCACACCTGCCAGGGCTGAGACGGCTTTTCTTTGCAATAACTAATGGATCATATTTACAGCTGTATGCCTTTCTCTACCTGCTTCCTGGTGTGAAAAGTTGGGATCTCAGAGACCTTTTCATTTTGCTGTTTCTTTTTTTTTTTCTTTAATCCAAGTTAGTAATATTTTTTCCAGGATAATTCTCTTTGAAATTGTGTGGATTTCCCATGAATCATGCTTCAAAATCCACTTTCATAATACTTTCCAAGTTATGCCTTTTTCTACTTTGAGTAGATGTCAGTTTGTGTTTGTAACTCTCTTGTTCAGCTGAAAGGATTGACTAAGCATCACCTCAAATCTTCCTAAGATCTAAACAAAAAGCCTCACAGTCACAATCTTGATTCATTCTTTGCCCTGAGACCATTTCTTACTTTGAGAATCTTTTTCCAAGAGACTGTCTTGAAACGTCTATATTGTCTATAAGTTCTTGCAAACCCAATACTTCCTTCTTGAGTTCCTCTTTCCTTACAATATCTTATCATGTGCTGCTTAAAGAAGCCAATGGGAACTTTCAATGTTCTTCCTGAAATTCTCTTCAGCCAGCCCCACAGGTTCATTAACTATATTTTCTGTTCTCCAATATATAATTGTTTCACCACAATATAACACAGATTGCCCTTTCTCCAGCCTCCAATAGCAGTTCCCTCACTTCCCTTCCAGCATTCACATTCTCATCATCCTACCAGCCTCCAGCTGCCACTCAGCCCCAAAGTCAGACTGGAAGTGGTCTGGGTCCCTCTAGGCCAGTGGTTCTCAACCTTCTGGCCCTTTAAATACAGTTCCTCATGTTGTGACCCAACCATAAAATTATTTTCGTTGCTACTTCATAACTGTAATGTTGCTACTGTTATGAATCATAATGTAAATATCTGATATGCAGGATGGTCTTAGGCGACCCCTGTGAAAGGGTCATTCAACCGCCAAAGGGGTCGCGACCCACAGGTTGAGAACTGCTGCTCTAGGCCAAAGGAGAGGCTCTGGCCCAGAGTAAGTGCTCAGTCAATGTGTGACAAATGAACAAGTGAGCATGTGCAATGTATTCTCCTCACTGACCGAGAGGCATGTGCATCAGGAGAGAGAAATCACCCAGCTCCGTCCTATGCCTCATCTCCACCCCTTCACTATGAGCTCTGGCTTTGGTTCCCTCCTCTCCCCACTCACTCCCAAATGTAGGCCACGCCTGGAAGGACACTCTGAGTGGCCACAAATTCCTGCCATTCCACCGTTTGGAGTCATCATGTCTGGGCTACCATGATAAGAATGGGCTCTCTCCTGAGGCCCAGAAGCACAGAAGCTTCATTCTGGAGCCACAGACACAAACTGGTAGCAAAGGACAGAAATCAGTGGTGGGGGTGGGACAGTATGCACAGGAGCGTCACCACTACCATGACCTCTGGCTGCTGAAAGGGCCTTTCCAGCCACAACCCTAGATGGCCAGACTGTGAAGGGCCACAGCCACTGCACATGTGGAAGTGGAGGCCCAGAGAGGAGCCTGTGGTCAGTGGTCAGTGGTCAGTGGCAGAGCCATACCTCGGGGCTGGCAGTTTATCAGTTTCTCTCAGGAAGTCTCTCAGCAGACTCTGACACAGATGGGAAGACTTGCCCCAGACACTGAGCAGAGGGTAAGGGGAAATAGAGTGAGAAAACAGAGAGGGCCCTGCCCCCTCCCCAGGGAACACCCTAACAGAGCCCTCTCCCACCGAAGGCCTCCTGTTAGCTAGGCCTCGGTGAAGCAGGGCCACGCCCTGGGAGTGTCTCTAGGTCCAGAGGTTGCCATGTTTTTCCCCACCGCATTCCTAATGCTCATCCAGTATCCCCACTGGGGTTTTGAGGCAGCCTGGACACAACCTTGACCAGGCCCCAATCCCTTACCCCTCTCCTCTCCTGGCCCTCCCACCGCTTCCAGGCTACAGACCCACACCCACCAAGCTGCCCGCCTGAGTCAGCCCTGAGTGCACAGCCTACACATGCCCTGAGCTCACCAGTCACTCACTCTGTCCCCGCCCCTACTCTGTGCTGGGCCCAGGAGACAGCGATGACTCAGAGCCAGCTCTGCCCTTGGGTCCTTCAGACGTGGACAAATAGCCATTTTCCCTTTGACGAGCAGATTCATGGTTTTCGCTCAGGAGAGGTACAGAGAGCCTGGGAAATGTTGCTCCCTCTGGCTCCAGAGCAACTTTGAGGGCAGAGAGACCCATATCTGAGATCCCCTTCCCCAGTCATCACCTTCCCCCTGGGATTTTCCATAAATCCTCTGGTGAAGAGAAAAAAGGACTAAGAGGAGTGAGGGAGGCCTGGAATGAGGCACTCTCAGACACAGGCACACACAAGAGCGTGCACGCACACAAAGATACACACACACCGATGCACACACACAAATCTGCATGCTTAGACACACAAAGGCATACACAAAGTCACACCCAGATAAAAGCACACATAAACACACTTACCTACATCATCAGGCAGATCTCATGCAAACACGAAGACAATATGGAGGGCACACATACCAAAGCCACAGCACATAGGCACACACAGACACACACATGCAGACAAGTCCACAGCAAGTCCCCAAGCCTCCTGACTGCAATGGGCACATGGATCATGTTGGTTCTACCCAGGACTGGACGGTGCCCTTCCCTGCAGCCTAGGGTTTTGTGGCAGCTGCTGGTTGGGTAGGCTGCAGCCTCTGACAGAAAGAGGGGAAATGGAGATCTGGGGACATCTTCCAAGGAAGGAAGGTACACTCAGAGGGAGCCCTCAGCCAGGCTCAGGGGTGCACCCCGTGGCCCTGGTACAGGGTGGGTCCCAAGAGAAGTGTCAGATGGCATTACAAGCCCAGGAGGGTACAGCTAGCCACACTCCCCCCACTTCAGGCCAGGAAACTCCTACCTAGTGTCCAAATCAAGAGTCTGCTCCCTGGGGTGGTGGCAGGGAGGGCTGAGGGGCTTTAGCTTCTCTCCACCAGCCTCTGCTTCAAGGTAGGACAAAGCCCCCACTGTAACCCTCCCCTGACTCTGCTAGGAATTCCAAACACAGACCTCCAGCTGCAGCCGATTTCCAGGGTGGGAGGCAGAGGGCTGACTCCATGATGCTCAGAGCATTTATAGCCAGTGGGAAACTGCCCTGGGCCTCCCTGACACCAGAAATAAATGATTCCAGCCACAGAAACCCACTCGGACATGGCTGGAATGACCCGCTGGAGAGTGCTTTCACATTGAGGACTTGTGGTGCTAGTGGCAGCCACTGCTGTGAGCCTAGGCAGGGCTATTTGTGCAGCACGGGTCAAATCACACAGCCTGTAGGCCCCAAGACCCCAACAGCCCAAACCACAGCCACCAGCAGCTCAATCAGGGGGCAGGAAGCTGGAGGCCCAGCTTTGTAGACAGCAGCTGCTTGGAAGTAGCTGTCTGTGGACAAAAATGGGGTTTTGTCTTCTTAAACAGAAAACCTAGTTTCTTTTTCTTCTCACATAACTCCAAGGCTGCTGACTAGCTCTAAAAGGAAGAAACAGGCACATGAGTTCCCTGGCTCATGCAAGCCCCCACCGTCGCTAAATCCCCCAAGTGTTTCCAGGAGTCCCAGGAGGTGACTGGCATGTACTCACGGATGAAGCTGGTCAGTTGCTGTATGACAGCTGCAGACTTATTCCTCTTCTGCTAGGGATTGTGTCCACCTGACACTACTACCATTTCCGCTGGGTACTAATATGGGAAAATTGGAGTGGAACGTGTGGTGTCTCTCTGGGCAGGATGGTTCCCGGGCTCTTTGTCTGGTGGGGTCGAAGGATGAAAACATGGACCAAAAATGGTATAGCAAAGATGGAAATTTATTGAGAAACAAGCACAGACTCCTACTTGGGGAGGGGCAAAGAGTCCCACAGCAC